AAAAAAAAAAAAAGATGCAAAATATTCATCAATTTTCATTATACAGAAATCTAATTTAAGGCCGGGTTCAGTGGCTAGTACTCCTAGCCCTCTGGGAGGCTTAGGCAGGTGGATTGACTGAGCTCACAAGGTAGAGATCAGCCTAAGCCATAGCGAGACCTCATCTCTACAGATAGCCAGACATTGTGGTGGGTGCCTATAGTCCCAGATACTTGGGAGTCTAAGGCAAGAGAATCTCTTATGCCAAAAGTTTGAGGTTGCTGTGAGCTGTGATGACACAGCACTCTATAGAGGGCGACAAAGTGAAACTCTGTCTCAAAAAAAAAAATCTAATTTAAATATTAATCCCCAAAATATGCAACACTAGGATCTTAGACTCCCTCCCACGCTGTGCCTCGTTAGGACCAAAGTTTCCAAGCCTTTCCTAGCACCTTTAATTTAATCCATACCTAATAGTTACGATTACAGCCATCTACTTTACAACCTGGGTGAACTCAGACCCATTACCTAATTTCCCTGCATCTCATTTCCTCATCTGGAAATAAGAATAACAATAATCTTTATTTCATACAGTCCTTTACAGGATGTAGTAAATATTGACTGACGTATGTAAGACTCTAAGCATAGTGGCCAGCATAATAAAAGCTTAACAAGTATTAGATTTAGTGGGCGGCATCTGTGGCTCAAAGGAGTAGGGCGCCAGCCCCATATGCTGGAGGGTTCAAATCCAGCCCCAGCCAACAAGTGCAAAAAAACCCAAAAGTATTAGATTTAGTTGTTATCGTTAGTAGTATATCTCCTTTAAAATCACAATCAGTGGTCAGGTCCAGTGGCTAATGACTGTAATCCCAGCGTTTTGGGAGGCCAAGTTTGGAGGATCACTTGAGGCCAAATAGTTCAAGACCAGTGTAGCAACGTAGTGAGATTCCATCTCTACAGAAAAATTTTAAAGTAACCCGGCATGGTGCCATATGTAGTCCCAGTTACTCCAGAGGCTGAGGTGGAAGACTTCTTTAAGCCCAGGAGTTCCTGGCTGC